AAACAGTGAAAAGCCAAAAGCTTTTCTCTAAGATTAGGAACAAGGCAAGGATTCCCACTCTTGCCACTTTTATTAATGTAGTTTTGGAAGTCCTAGCCATAGCAAGTAGGCAAGAAAAAGAAATAAAATATATCCAAATTAGAAATAAACGAAACTATTTCTGTAGTTGATATGATATGATATGATACAATCATATCAACTGTCTGTAGATGATATGATATAATACAGAGAAAACCCTAAAGACTCCATACACACACAAAAAAATTGTTATAGCTAATAAATGAGCTCAGTAAAATTGCACTTCTTAGTTCAGTGAAGAGCTAATAAACGAATTCCAGTAAAATTGTTTCTATACACTAATAAAAAACTACCACAGAAATTAAGAAAACAACCCCATCTACCATTGCACTGAAAAAAAAAAAAAACCTAGGAATAAATTTAACCAAAGAGGTAAAAAGACATATGTACTGAAAACTCAAAGACATTGATGAAAGAAATTGAAGAAGACAAAAATAAATGGAAAGGTATTCCATACTTTTGGATTAGAAGAATTAATAATATTAAAATATCTATACTACTCAAAGCAATCTACAGATTCACTGCAATCCCCATTAAAATTCCAATAGTGTTTTTCACAGAACTAGAACAAACAGTTCTAAAATTTGTATAGGGCCATAGAAGACCCTGAATAGCCAAAGCAGTCTTGAGAAAGAACAAAACTGGAGGTATCACACTCCCTGATTTCAAACTATACTACAAAGCTATGGTAATCAAAACAATATAGTGTTATTATAAAAACAGACATATCAATCATTGGAAAAGAATAGAGAGACCAGCAATAAACTCACACAAATATGGTCAATTAATTTATGACAAAGGAGCCAAGAACATTCAGTGGGAAAAAGACAGTCTCTTTAATGAATACTTTTGGGAAAAACTGGTCAGCCATATCCAAAACAGTGAAACTAGACCATTGTCTTATACTCTACAGAAAAATTGCCCCCAGATGGATCAAGGACTTGAATGTAAGACCTGAAACCATAAAACTCCTAGAAGAAAACATAAAATGTAAGCTCCTCAGCATTGGTCTTGGCATTGAATTTTTAGATTTGATTCTAAAATCAAAGGCAACAACAAAAATAAACAAGTGAGACTACATCAAACTAAAAAGCTTCTTCACGGCAAAGGAAACCAACAAAAGGAAAAGGCAACCTGCTGAATGGGAGAAAATGTGTGCAAATCCTATAATCAATAAGGGGTTAATATCCAAAATTTATAAAGAACTCAAACAACTCAGTAGCAAACAAAAACAAAAACAAAAACAAAAACAAACCCACAAACAACCCCATTAAAAATAGACATTTTTCCAAAGAAGACATACAGGTGGCCAACAGGCACATGAAAAGATGTTCAAAATCACTAATGATCAGGGAAATACAAATCAAAACCACAAGGACATATCCTTTCAAATCTGTTAGAATGGATATTATCAAAAAGACAAGAAATAGCAAGTGTTGAAGAGAATATGGAGAAAAGGGAACCCTTGTACATGGTTGGTGTGAATGTAAATTAGCGCAGCCTCTATGGAAAACAGTATGGAGGAGCCCCAAAAAATCAAGAATAGAACTACAGTGTGATCCAGCTATTTCATGTCTGGGTATTTATTTAAAAAAATCCATAAATTTGAAGGGATGTATGCACCCCTATGTTCATTGAAGCATTATTTACAATAGCCAAGATATGGAAACACCCAAGTGTCTGTCAATGGATGAACAGATGAAGAAATATCATGTATATACACAATGGAATACTACTCAGTTATTAAAAAGAAGGAAATCTGGGTGACTCAGTCAGTTAAGGGTCTGGCTCCTGATTTTGGCTCAGGTCATAATCTCACTGTTTATGGGATCAAGCCCTGAGTTGGGCTCCACACTGTAAGTGTAGAGCTTGCTTGGGATTCTCTCTCTCCCTGCCTCTCTGCCCCTTCTCCATGCATGTTCTCTCTCTCTCTCTTTTTCACTCTCTAAAAAATAAGTAAATAAACATTTTTTTAAGAGAAGGAAATTTGCCATTTGTGACAATATGGATAGATCTTGAGGGTATTATGCTAAGTGAACAAGTTAGAGAAAGAAAAATACCATATATTTCTCTTATTTGTGGAATCAAAGAACCCAAAACAAATGAAAAAATGAAAGAAAACTCATGGATACAGAGAACAGATGGGTGGTTATCAGAGGGGAAGGGATCTGGGAGTAAATGAAATGTATGAATTAGATCAATTGCGTGGTAATAGATTGTAACTAGACTTACGGTGATGATCATTTTGCAGTGTAAACAAATATCAAATTATCATGTTGTATATCTGAAACTAACAAATTATATAAGTTTTACTTCATTAAAACAAATGGGTGCCTGGATGACTTAGTTGGCTAAGCATCTGACTCCTGATATCAGCCCTGGTCATGATTTCATAGTTCGTGTGTTCGAGCCCCACATTGGGCTCTGTGCTGTCAGCACAGAGTCTGCTTGGGATTCTCTCTCTCCCTCTCTCTCTCTCTCTCTCTGCCCTTCCCCCACTTGCTGTCTCTCTTTCTCTCTCTCTCTCAAAATAAATAAACGTTACAAAAACACTAAGAAATACTCTTTCACTTGTTTCTAAGAGGATATTGTTTAAATGTTAAACTATTAAAATGTATTTAAATTCTTTAAAATCAAATGCATTCTCTGCTGTAGGGCTAATTACTTAACATTTCTGAGTATGTTTCTTTATCTATGAAATAAGAATAATACTATTCCATGAGGAGTATTCTTATCATTCAGTGTTACCATGTGTACTGTGCTCTGCAGTATACCTAATTAATACACTGTGAGTTTTGGTTAAATTTTTCAACTTGGAAAATACTTAACTAATGCCTACTGTAGCCAGATACCATTTAGGAATTATTATTAGGAATAAAAAACAAGAATAATATACAATCCTTGCTTTCAGGAAGTTTCCAATTTACTGGAAAAGAAAGACATGTACACATTTATAAAACAATGTGGTATTTTACTAGTGTAACATTAGAACACTGGGCAAACCCACTGGAGACATTGTATAACAGTACGACAGTCATTAAAACTTGGTGTATTTGAATTTAAAAAGAGCATCATGACCCTGTAAAATAATAATTTAGAGCTACCATATGGTTGAGTCAATGGCCAATGGATTATTTCTATCTTAGAATCTCAAGGATGTAGCCAGGATTGTTCTGAATCAGAAGTGGATGCATTAAACCAGCAACATGGAAAACACCTTCAAATTGGTAGTGAGTCAGAAGGGAAATTGAATGGAATTCACACTATCAAGACCTAATTCTGTTGACTGTGGTCTACCTCAAACCAGTCTCTCTGGTTGGAGGCCACGGTCATGCATGAGAAGGAGGAGCCGTTCTTTCAGGCCAGGGTTGAGTCACGCACACTCTGATAATCTGACAAAAGCTGTGAATTCTTTCCAAGGAAATGATGGACTCGTAAACAAATAAAATGGCCGTCGTAATCTCTAGTGAGGTTCCGGCCTTTCTGAAGTTCAAGATAAGAGCCTCTGTTTTAAAAGAAAATCTGTATGCTGTATCTTCTCCCCTCTCTGGGGAACTAGGAAATAGTGGCAACTTCATCAATTGTATTAACATATGAACACTGATAGTCCCAAATCACTTCAAATCACACTGAGTTTGTGATAACTTTTTCTTTCTTTCATCCTACCTGGCATCTCCCAGTGCACTTAGGATTGAGACTTCTCCAAGATGAAAGGCTTAAATAAAACCCAGCTGTAAACAGTCTAGACCCTGAACTCATACTTATCAAACTCTCTTGAGAGTAATATGTCAAATATTACAAGCATACCTTGTATTGTGTTTCGCTTTATTGTGCTTTGAAGATACTGCAGTTTTGTACAAATAGAAGCTCTGTGGCAACCCCACACTGAGCAGGTCGGTAGGCACCATTTTTCCAACAGCATTTACTCACCTCATGTCTCTGTGTCATGTCTTGGTAATTCTCACACTATCATAGACTTTTTTCATTATTATTGTATTTGTTATGGTGATCTGTAATCAGTGATCTTTGATGTTATTATTGTAATCATTTTGGCACACCATGAACCATACCCATATAAGACAGCAAACTTAACTTATAAATGTCATGTGTTCTGACTGCTTCACTGTCTGTCTGTTCCCCTGTCCCTCTCCCTCTCCTTGGGCCTCTGAATACAGAGACACAATAAAACTAGAATTAGGCCAATTAATAACCCCACAATGTTCTCTGAGTGTTTCTGTAAGAGGAAGAGTCACATGTATCTCCCTTTATTTTTATTTTATTTTAAAAAATGTTTAATGTTTATTTTTGAGAGAGAGAGAGAGAAACTGTGTGCAAGTGGGAGAGGGGCAGAGAGAGTGACACACACAGAATCTGAAGCAGCCTCAGGCTCTGAACTGTCAGCAGAGAGCCTGAGGTGGGGCCACAATTCAGGAACTATGAGATCATGACCTGAGCTGAAGTCAGACGCATTGCTGACTGAGCCACCCAGGTGCCCCACACATATCTCGCTTTAAGTCAAAATCTAGATATGATTAAGGTTTCATTGTTCTTTCAGGCATAATGCTATTGCACACGTCATAGTGTAAGCATAGGTTTGATATACATTGGAGACCAAAAAAATTCACTTGACTCACTTTATTGCGATAGCTGCTTTATTGTCGTGGTCTGGAGCCAAACCTGCCACATCTCCAAGATATGTCTGTACTATATAGGAGCCATTGCTATCACTGCTACTACGTGGATACTACTATTTTTCCTTCTGTGACTTGGAAATTAGCCTGGAGATGTAGGACCTTTCACTAACCAGAACCAACTGCTCCTGCCTGTTTGCTAGTCCTTATATTTTATTAGTGAGAATTCAGTCTTCTCCTATGACCTCCTTGTGGGAGTCTAATGGGCTATTCTGTTTCATGTCTCATCAGCAAATTCCTGAAGATACAGTGCCTGGAGGGGGGCATCTGGGAACAAGGCACCTGCATCCCAGTGGTGTGTGAGCCCCCTTCTCCTGTCTTTGAAGGCATGTATGAATGTACCAATGGCTTTGAGCTCAACAGCCAGTGTGTGCTCAACTGTAACCAGGAAAGTGGAAGGGTAAGATGACTTGAACTTGCTTTTGGAGTAGGCCATGCTCTAATCTCGATGACCCATCCAAGAACATTCACTAGAAATGATCTACATGAATCCCAACAGGCAGGGCCTTACTAAGTTGGGATTCTACCAGTGGTGTTGATATTATTTCATAAAGAATTCAGAAGATACCATGGTTTTGGAATAGTTTCTCTTGAGTTTAGAACGTCTTCTTGGATAAAAGGAAAAACCTGATGGGTTGGGTACCTGGGTAAATTCCAGAAATGCTGTGATTTTGATTTGGCAATGTGGTTTCCTCCCATAACCTCACTATGAAAGCTGGTATCATGTTTTTCAATAGTACAGAGTCCTAGAACAGAAACACAAATTCCTCAGCAAAGGCAAGCCTAAAAGTACTGCTTGACTACCATTCCCTAAGATTTTGGCACAAGAGGTCTCAAATGAAAACCACAGTCTTATCGTGGTTACGTGATTAAAATCAATTTCAGTTTTGAACCTTTTCAAGTACCACACGCATACATGAGGCAGGAAGTTAAGCAGACTTCCTAGGCAGAGATCAATGACCTTGACTGCTCTCCTGGCCCATGTCTATCTCAGTGTCCAGCACTCCAAGGTAAGCACTGCTGGACAAATGTGGAAAGAATATGCCATGAAATGAGACCCCTGAGAAATCAAACACATCCGTTTGTGCTGATTGTTTAAGGCCTAAGGGAGTTGGCCCTGGATGAAGGGAGAGTATCTACAATTCTAAAATCTTGCTTTCTTGGGTTTTGTGCGTTGGTGCTATTTTCTCTGTGATCTGCATATAGTATACTTTGTGATTATCGGGGATGTGGAGCCAAAAGTTACACAAACCAGCACACATATGGAGAGAGGGAATAAAACTTTGGTGAGATCAAAAGCAGCTGCGATGTGTCCATTCAAGCAGAAAGGCAAAAACACCTTCATAAAAATTATGAATTGGCTTTACTGGATCACACTCCTCTTGAAAAAAATGCTGACATTTGCTGCAAGCAGCATTTGTGTGATAGTATGGATGAATCGATGCAAAACAACACCATCTGTGAAAAAAATTCCAAAAATATCTATGAATATGTGGGCTATAGTTGACAGCTCACTGAATCCTTCTATCCAAAGAAAACACATTGTTAATAAATTTGATTAATGACAAAATTGTTCATGATTTCCTCATGCCAAAATGGCAAGAAAAAATTGTCTTTTCTTATTTTTTATTCTTATCTTCTGGTCAGTAACAACCTGGTTTATTACCTCAATCATGTCTTTTAGTCCAGGTTCTAAAAGTTGGAGAATGCTACCATTTAATCGGGCCTCTTTTCCCCCTTTGTTCTAAATAAAATTAACAAGAATGTTTACTTTTGATATTGTAGGCTCCCATCCTCTGCACTAAGGAGGGACTGTGGACTGAGGAGTTCAAGTTGTGTGAGAACCTGCAAGGGGAGTGCCCAGCACCCCCATTGGAGCTGAATTTTGTGGAGTACAAGTGTGAACAGGGATACGGGATCGGTAAGTTTGGGATGAGGTGCTGAATTCCGCTCCCAAAGAATCCTTTCATTAAGCCTGGCTGGATTTGAGTCAGATTCATTGTTCTCTCTCAGGGATGGATGGAAATGCAAGTTGACTCTTAGCTGCTTCAGTAAAAATGAAATGTATGGCAAACTGGTTCACTTTACCCTTCCACACGTGTTCACGTTGGTGCTGCTGAGCTAGTTGCAGAGTGTCTGGTCATGTTACCCACTTCGCTGCAGGCAGAGAGTGGGTTGATTTGTGGCAGCAGTTGAGTTGTAGCCACACACCACGCAAGTCCTGAGTCCCTTCTCCATTCTTTCTGCGCTTGTCCCTGATGCAAGGAGTTCTCTCCTGAAAGGGACTGGTTAGAGATTGAATTTGCTTGCGTTGCCCTTTGGCCATTCTTTTCTCTACAGAGGACCAGACTCCAGAGCCTCTGGGCAACTTCTAAATCAAGTCATTGCAATTAAAGATCTCTGTGGTCAGAGCTAATTTATAGAGATGTTGATTCAACTTTGCCCTGGCTGGACCTATGCATCGTAGAAAAGAGATGCTATTTGTAGAAAGCCTTGTAAGGTTAACCCTGAATTCTGAACTGCATAAGCAAGGAGGGATTTTATGTCATTCTAACTGTGTAATGCCAATGGGTAGAATTTGAGTGAACGAGAAAGCTCATTAGTTTCTGAGATGGTACTTTACCATCCTCCGGCTGCTCTTTGCACCTGGATATCTTGGTAGTAGGGTGCCCAGACTGGGCCTCTTGAATGGTATTTCATGAGCAAATTCTCATCTCCCCACACTCTTAATTTCTGCATTATAATGCCATGCACTCACATACATAAAACTCTTAAGAGTCCTGGAGCATTTTGAGTTATTTCACAAGTTTGCAAAAAACATAGACATAGAGGTAGCAAGTGCTGCAAAGAAACTTGCAGACAAGCAGATCTATTGATGAGGAAACGGAACCCTGGGAGCGTGCCATCTTTGAATCGAATTTTAGAAGACACTTGGACCCATATACAAGGGAGTGGAGCAAGATTTCCCTTCAGGAGGCTAACACGTGACCAAAATCTCTGCTTCTAATTTCCTGTCCCTTCCTCTTAATCACATAGGTTTCTTGGCTGCAAGCGTGTGGCCATCAGCCGGGCAACAGACATTTAAATCTGCCTTCATCATTCCTGGGCCATTTTCCCCCCACCAGCTGGGACATTTCTTAGGTAGTGGCTGCTGTAATTATAAGCCTTCCAAAGATCATATAAGCAGGGAAATAGTAATGTACTAAAAGGCATCGGCCAATCAAGATCAAGATTGTCATTGGCTGGCCAGAGTCCTAGAGTAGGGTCTTGGTAGTCCAGAAGCTAGACCAGGAGTTAAACTTTTAATTGCCGGATCTTGCAGGAGTTCAGAGATTCCAGAGCAGGGGCTGTTCTGGGCCAGAAAGAGGACTGGGCATTGGGTCAAGGGGAGATCCCTTGGAGCAGTGACCTCTGTAGCCATTAGTGCAGAAGACTCTCTACAGGTACATGGTAGATGAATTTGGCTCTGCCTACAACCGTGATTATGTGGTGGCCCATCACATAGAAATGAATTGCTCTTAAGAAGTCAAAGCTGTTGATTCCAGGATGAAAAAGACTGAGATCTAAGAAGTTCAAGTCTCTGTTGTAAATTTCTGTCCCTCCAGGTGCTGTGTGTTCCCCATCATGTGTGATTCCCCCAAGTGATCCCGTAATTCTGCCTGAGAACGTCACTGCTGACACTCTGGAGCACTGGATGGAACCTGTCAAAGTCCAGGTGAGGAAAGGGACGTTTTTATGTGCCACAGACGTAAGATGACTGAGAAATTCACAACTGACAGTGTATTCCCTGAAGTAATTTCTGAGGCTTTCTAAGCATCTTTAAAGCATGGCTCATTCCTAGAGAGGAACATTCAAACCCAGAAGGACAAGACAGGACATTTGGGAAAAGGATGGCCCTTCTCCAAAAGACAGTTTAAAAGCTAATCTAGAAGGAGGACTTGGAAACATAGAGAACGGTAATTCAGGAAAGGAGATTGAAAGAGAAAATCACTGCCACTGAAAAATAGGACAGGAAGACTTTGAGGAAGCCAAAGAAATGAATAAAGATGAAAGAAGGGTGGAGAGGGGTCGCCTAGGTGGCTCAGTTGGTTAAGCATCCAGCTTTGGCTCAGGTCATGATCTCACAGTTTGTGGGTTCGAGCCCCACCTCAGCCTCTGTGCTGACAGCTAGCTCAGAGACTGGGGCCTGCTTCAGATTCTGTGTCTCCCTCTCTCTCTGACTCTTCCCTGCTCATGCTGTCTCTCTCTCTCAATAAATAAATAAATAAATAAATAAATAAATAAATAAATAAATAAAATTTTTTAATGTTTTATTTATTTCTGAGACAGAGAGAGAGACAGCGTGAGCAGGGGAGGGTCAGAGAGAGAGGGAGACACAGAATCTGAAGCAGGCCCCAGGCTCTGAGCTAGCTGTCAGCACAGAGCCTGAGGTGGGGCTCAAACCCACGAACCTTGAGATCGTGACCTGAGCTGAAGTCGGACACTTAACCGACTGAACCACCCAGGCACCCCAAAACATTAAAAATTAAAAAAAAAAAAAAAAAGAAAGAAGGGTAGAGAGGGAAGAATGGCTTGGAAGAGATGGAGATGAAACTGGAAATGGGGAAAGAATGATGACAGGGTGTTTGAGGAGAGCTATCTTCCCTGTCTCTGTCCCCACCCTTTCTGAACCCCAAGATCTCCCAGGGCCCTCTGGAGTCTAGTCAGTCATGGGCAGGACCCAGTACATTGACACCCTCTTCTCTGGGCTCTGCATTTGTTTGCATTCTCAGGTGAAACCCCAAAAATGCCCCTCCCTGCTTTTTCTCTCCTCTGGGCCTGGGAGAAGGGCCACTGTCCCCCTGTCTCCTCAGTGCCATTTCCAAACCATTGCCTCCGCCTCCTCCCTGGAGTCACCCACATCTGAATCTAATGACAACGGAGCAAACCACTCATCCTACCCCCCATCTCATTTCTTAAACGTTTTAGCTCCTGGGTCACAGTCATGTTAGCTGATATTCTTGCATGATTCATCGATTTCAGTATCTACACACTTGATCCTCCCAAAACCTCGGTTCTCAGTTCTGTGGCCTCCTCTCTTACAGTGATCACCTTTACCTTTTTGACTTTATCCTCTACACGCTTTCCTTGGCTCACTCTGATGTTGCCACAGTGGCTTCTTGGCTGATTCTTAAACATGCCAGGTATACTCCCACCTCAGGACCTTTGCTCTGCAGTTCCCTCTGCCTAGAATGTTCTTCTCCCGTGTATCTTCATGCCTTGCTCCCTGGATTTCTTTAGAATGTTACTCAAATGTCAGGCTCCTCTTTGACTGTTCTATCTAAAATTTTAACTCACCTAACACTTTCTGTCCCCCTTTCCCTTTTTCACTTTTTTTCTTAGGACTTAACACACTACCAGGCATATTATATATTTTACGTATTTATCTTATTTAGTATCCCTTTCTGCTGCTAGAATAAAAAGTCCAAGGAAGGAGTACTATCTGTTCCATTGACTAATATATTCCCATATCCTAGAACAGTACTTAGTATGTAGTGGGTGCTCAATAAATATCTGAGAGATGAATAAATGAAAAAGAGAAAGAAAAACTGATACGAGATCAGGATGGAGAAGATCCTGTGGTAAGTTAGTTAGTTCTCCTTAGAATGGGAAGGGTGGGAACAGAAAGACTGGGAGCTTGGTTCCCTTATTTGATTAACAAATGACATCCTTGGAAGGCTGTTCTCCTAGAGTTACCAAGAGATGGTTTCTAGAGATGTACTGCATTTCCTTTGGAAACCATCCTCAGATTGCTTCTTTTTCCTCACAAAATAACTGTGCTATCTCATCAGCAGGGATTTGTGTCAAAGCAAGAGGATCAGGAAAAAATACCTTTAAGTATGACTCAGGAGAGGGGACTGGGAAGAGTGCACCCCTACTAATTCAGTCAGTTATTCATTGAACAGTCATTTAGTGGACCTTCCTAATGTGCCCTGGAACTAGGCTAAGTGCAGGGAATGTGGAGATGAAAAAATGATAGTCCTTCTATTTACAAGACTTACAATCTGGCCATGAAAACATACATTTATAATAATGCAATACAGGAAGTGGTTTGGTTGTGGTAGAAGTGCTGTGGGAACACCCTGGAGGAAGCAACTAATTCTTCTGCTTAAGAGCTTCAGGAAGGATCAAAGGACAAGGAAGCTATTCCTCTGGGTCATAAACCATGATCAAGAGAGGAATGTTCTAGAGGCTTGGGAATGGTAAGAAGTTCTCTGTGGCTGAAACCAGGGTATGTGTGGTGGTGAGGGAGAGGCAAGATGGATATTAGAAGGGTGAGATAGGGGAGAGAGATGTGGGCAAATTCCCGTGGGGCAGGCCATTGAGCAGGGTGGAGCTCACAAGGAGCCTGGGGGCAACTTGAAGACTGAATTGGGGAGGAGAAAGCCAGAAAACCCCTTGCCTGGTTCTCCCATCCCTGGCCTTCCTAAAATTTCTGTGCCTGTCCCCACAGTCTGTGGTGAAGGCCTAGCTAGAATTGCAATGCCTGAAGGAAGAGCTTTCAATGTTTCATGAAGCTCCAGATGGCCTAGACCTTTTCTTTCAGTCCCTTAAACTCAACTTCCTATGAGGAAAGCCTTCTCTTTCATCACTAGTAGCTCTAAAGGGGGAAAGGCTTAGAACATTTCAGACTCTTCTCTTACTCTTGAGAAATAACCTGCCTGAGGAACTCTTCTCCACACACTTCACCATGAAGGCATCCGGTGGGAGCAGTCGTAGGGCTCAGGAGGCCAGAGTGCAGACCTTCCAGTGATGGGGGGGTCTCCCACTTCTGCTTTCCAAGTGAAACATTCAAAGAAGAGCCTCTCAGTTGTCTTCATGAAGACAGCAGGGGTGCCAAATGCAGAGACTTTCCTGTTTCCAAACCAGAAAAGGACATCCTCCATTTTTGTTTACATTATATTCCTACTAATTTTTCCAAAGCTGAGAACCTCATAGGTGTCTTATAAACATTGGTGGAATGAGCAAAGCAATTCTTGTAGCACCGTTTTCTACTTTGGAAGTAAGTGTCTATTTCCTCATCAGACTTCAAATTTTATAAAATTTCAGCAGCTCTCCATGACTATGTGATTATATGTCCTCACACCCTTGTTATTTTCAAGTTGTCTACCCCAGAGAGAAATGCAGAATATTTTTTTTTCTCCTTAAGCCAAACATCAAATGTTATCATCTCTGTCACTGCATTTGTCTTGAGCATTGTCTAGTCAGTAAATCCAGGTATTGAAACAAGTTCTCCGGGCATGGTTTTAAGGATGATAGCATCGCATCACAGAAATGTTGGAGACCTTATAATCAAAAATGTGTTAAAAATGGGGCGCCTGGGTGGCTCAGTCAGTTAAGTGTCTGACTTTGGCTCAGATCATGATCTCACAATTCGTGGGTTTGAGCCCCACATTGAGCTCTGTGCTGACAGCTCAGAGCCTGGAGCCTGCTTTGGATTCTGTGTCTCCCTCTCTCTCTGCCCCTCCTTCACTCACTCTGTCTCTCTCTGTCTCTCTCTCTCAAAAATGAATAAGCATTAAAAAATTTTTTAATGTATTAAAAAAAGCTGAGTTTTTACTCATGATCTCTGTTATTCATCAGCTACATAATTTTAGTCAATGTTACTGTTCTGTGCCTCTGTTTCCTTGTATGTAAAATGGACATAATGCCATTTCATAAGATGAATGTGAGTATCAGATAAGAAATGTGGATAGAACTTAGCTCTGTGCTTGATGCAGAACATTCTTTCTTGATCAGTTTCCATTTTAACTGGAGACAGGTCACTTTTCCTCCCCACTGTCTGCTCTTCCCATCTATAATGATACTGCCCTGTTCTTTATGATTTGGGGGTACAACTATACCGATCACAACTTGCATATTGTTAGAGGCACTATTACTTTAGTGGTGCTTTTGAGACTTGTATCCTTTTTCTGTGTGAAAACAAAGTAATTAAATTAGCTTCTTCTAATAATGAGGAGGAAAAATTGAGATAACTCACAAAATGAGCCTCATCCTTAACCTTGTAAGAGTAATTTGTTCCTAAAAAAAAAAAATCCAAAGGTCAGAATTTAAAAAACTGAACACAAATGAGGTGCCCAGGTGGCTCAGTTGGTTAAGTGTCCAACTCCTGATTGAGGCTCAGGTCAGGATCTCACAATCATGAAATTGAGCCCATCTCATGTGTGGAACCTGCTTAAGATTCTCTCTCTCTCTCTCTCTCTCTCTCTCCTCTGCTTCTCTGCTGCTTATGTGCACATGCATAAGAAGGAAACAAATTTTAAAATTAAAAAATTGTTTTTCTCTCTCAAGAAATTTAATAAAAAATTGAACATATAATTGATAAAATTTTCTCATGAACCCCCAAGTCAGTATTCGTTATGCCAAAGGAAAAGCCAGAGTTAACCCAGGACTTCACGGGAACTATCACAGAATGACTAAATAAGCTGTCCTTTGGGCATCTCTCAACAATTTCATATATATAATGAAATAAAGGAGTATCGCTTACAGGAAAAAAAAAAAAAAAACTTACCTGGGATGCTGTTTTTCTTTTTAGGATATCAAAACTTTTCCATAACAAAAAAACAAGAGAAAGGGCTCCCTGGTAGCACTGGGAATGGGGATAAAGTTATTGTTCTTATGTTCCCAGGTGCTCAGAGATAAGATTATACATTAGCCATGGACGATTTCATGATG